CTCTGCCTTCCACATGCATGTGCACACAAGTGCATGTGCACATATATATGTGCCCGCAAACATCAAACATATGCACACAAACACACCTACATATGCAAAAAAGGAAGGACTAGCAAGGTGTTTCAGCAGGTAAAGTGCTTACCATGTGAGCCTGACAACCTGAGTCTGATTCCTGAGACCCACATAAAGGTGGAAGGAGAGAACTGTCCACAAAGTTCTTTGACCTCCACATATGTGCCACGGCACACACACACTCTCCCTCTCACACACACACATCATGCATGCACACAATAATAATAAAGTTTTTTTTAAATTAAAAGAATAAGAAATAAGAGTTTCTCACTGGCCTAGAATTTACCAATTAGGCTTGGCTGACCCTCCAGGGAGTCCCACAGATTCTCTTGACTCCACCTCCCAGTGCTGGGATTACAAGTGATGCTTATATCCAGCTTTTTTTTTTCTTTTTAAAAAGTTATATGGCTCACTAGGGTCAAACTCAGGACCTCAGGTTGGCAAGCACTTTATCAACTGAGCCATCTCCCCAGCCTCATCACACTCAACTCTATTATGAAAAAGTCTAAGTACTGCTCTGTTTCTTATCGCTACCCATTAGAAATATGGGATGGTGTTTCTAGGCTTTGATCTCTGTGCTTTACCAACTCATGACTCTGGTGAACCTCTTGAGTGGTGAGGACGGAAAACCTTGGGAATTGAAACTTCATGAACACTTCATGCTTTAGAAGATGGATACCCCATGAAATTTCCTCATGTTTTGATAGGTTATAAGCATAATTGTGGAAGCTGGGACAATCTTTACTTCAAGATCAGCTTACCTGTGTGATAGGATGTCAAGTTTAAATGTTCTTTATGGATGGTTCATGAAGATGTGACTCCTTGTTTCTGTGATGATGTCATCTTCCTTAGTCACCATCCTCATGAGTAATGTGGAAAGGTAAAAAGAAAGCAAAAAGACTGTACCAATTAAAAGCATCTTCGTTTCCTGTAGTATAAATAATTTCTTTGATTAAACTTCAACCACGTTTCAGAGAGCCTACCTGGGGTTAAGATGAACACCGGTGATAATACTGGTTTATAAGACTTGAGGCAAGGATATAGAATAACTGACCACGCTTCCTTGTACTGGTCTCTATGGCTAGAGAACATGATCATCTCAGTGAATTCATGTGATTCTATTGATGCGTAGCCAATGTGGATTCAGTCAGTGGAATTCACCATTGGAGTTAATGTTTGAAGGACTCATTGATTATGTACTATCTTAGCTTTGCCACCGCTTAGTGGAAATACTTTTGTTGAAATGGTGGAAATAAAGTGAAATAGAGAAAATAACAGAGATATTCATTATTGATAAGATAATATTTTAGAATATATTTTGTAAGACTCAGGAAAGAACTAGTGAATTCCAAATGATAAAAGTTTAAAAAAAACCCTTCAGAAAATCCATAACATTATTTAATGAAGACTATTTTTTTGATGATTTGAGGGATGAGCCTGAAAATCCACTGAAATAAAAATGAGAACTATTTCATCCAAATCTTTCAAAGAGGGTTAGCAAGCAGGGTCAGAGTGGGTGGGGTGATGGAGGATGGAGTGGTTGGACCCCACCTTTTACCTTCCCTCTTTTTGATTCCTATATGGCAATGGCTAAGACTGGAAACAAGTTTTGGCTCCACACCAGCCTCTGAGTTTCTGTGTCCTGCACTGGAGGCCCACAACATTTTCCAGAAGTTAATTTTTTTTTTTACCAGCAAGATTTGGTCCACTCATGTGCCTCCCGAGTGCCCAGTGTAGCCAACAAACTTTGTACCATTGAAAAGAATGACAGAATGAGCATTACAGAGAAGAAAAGCAGTTGGAAGGAACTTTTTGGGGGAAAATCATTCAGCATCTTTGTTCTCCTTTAAAAAAAGGAGGCAACTGATTGAGGCTTAGTGAGTAGAAGAGAAGGGACCAACATTATCTTACAGGTTGGGACAGAACTGGGACTGGATCTGGACCATCCAGATCCTATTTTCTTCATGTGACCTCAATTGTGTTGTTACTCATGGGGCGGGAAAGGTGGGCACAATACCTCATGGGGGTCAGCAGAAGATAAATTCAGCTTACAGCTCAGGAAAGGCTTAGTGTTTGTGACACTGTTTCAGTAGGCTGCCTGAAATGTTGACCACCACAGGATTATTTCAGGAATAGGCAATTTGGAGTGGTCAGTGTACTGGGGGCTGTATTCAAATCAATCTGTATCTTGAAATCTTTTCTCTGTTTTTTTTTTTTTTTTTTCTTTCTAGAAATATGCTAGATAGCTTCAGTTGTCAACTTGACACACCTGGGGAGAAGGATCCTCTAATGAGGCATTTCCTCCATCAGATTGACCTGTGGCCTGTGGGGCATTTTCTTGACTGCTGAGTGATGTGTAAGGGCCCAGTCCTCTATGGGTGGTGCCATCCCTGGGCAGCTGGTCCTGTGTTGTATAAGAAAACAGGCTGAGCACAGGCCAGAGCAACAAGCCAGTAAGCAGTACTCTTCCATGGTGTGTTACTTTGGTTCATACCCTTGACTTCCCTTGATGATGTACTGTGAGCTGTAAGCCATATAAACCCTTTCCTCCCCGGGTTGGTTTTGGTTAGTGCTTTTATTACAACAATGGAAAGTAATTATGACAAAAGTTGGTACCAGGATAATAGGGTATTGCTGTGAGAGACCTGGATATGTTGTTTTGGGGAGGATTGTTGAAGCATTTGGAACTTTGGGTTAGAAAAGCCATTGAGTGCTCAGAGCTTAGAGAGCTGTTGCTGTGGAGCTTGGAACAGTTATGCTGAAGAGAAATGTGGATGATGGGTGCCTGGCTCATGACATTTCAAGGGAAGCAAATACTATCAGGGCTATTTGTGTGATAATTTGAATTGAGAATCTGCATTTTCTGGTCAGCTAGGTTGAATAATCTGCCATGAGTAACAATAGACAAGCATCACTATGGAAAAATCTTCTGGGAAGTATTTCCTTAGGGTCCAAGGGGAGCCTGTGGCTCCATTTCAAGCTCGAAGCAGAACTCGGTAATGTGTAAGAGTCTCCCACATGGTACTGTTGTTTAAAAAAAATTATTATTTTTTATTTCATGTGTACGTGTGTATTGTCTGCGTGTATGTAAGTGCACCAATGTTATGCAATGCTCATGGGGGTTAGAAGAAGGTGTCAGATTCCCCTGGAACTGAAGTTATGGACAGTTGTTAGCTGCCATGTGGGTGCTGGGAATTGAACCTGGGTCCTCTGCAAGAGCAACCAGATACTGAGACATCTCTCCAGCCCCAATGGTACTGGTTTTGAAGGCATGAAGGAGTCCCAGAGAGAAGTTAAAGCTTGGCACTGTGAGAGGTCAGGAGAGACATTAGTGAAGGTGTAGCGCCAGTTGCAGTGAAGACCCCCAGCACTGAAGACGCCAGGGAGAGAATCTGAGGTTTTGTACCCTGAGAGGCCAGAAGAGCCCATTGATGAGGGTACAGCCTCAGTTTTGGTGGAGACTCCAGCGAATTGGAGATGTCAGGACCATGGGGCAACCATCAAGGGCAGCAGCAAGTGTGGAGTGAGCCTCTGAGACAAGCTGTGTGTGCTGTGGATGGCAGAGCCAGAGAAGTGGAGCTGCCCACATCCTTTGGAGCCCAGAAGATCTTGAGTGAATCCCAGATGTCCAACACTGAGCGACATTGCTGGACTTTGGTTTTGCTTAACAGTGCCTGGATTTTCCCTTGTGAAATATAGTACATGACACATTTTGGATTCTTAAAGTACATAGTTAAGAGATTTTTAAAAAGAGACTTTAAACTTTTAAAGTGTTTGAATTTTTTTAAAGACTGTGGGACTTTTAAAGTTGTACTGTTTTATATGGTGATATTAGCATTATATCTTAGGGGCAAGAAATGGAAAGGTTGTGGTTTAATTGTGATGTGTTTGTGAGCAAAAGCCTAAACATGGGGGCTATGGTTGGGAGACAGAAATTTAGGAAGTAATAGAAAAAGGGAAAATATTTGTTAACTGTGAGAGAGAAAAATAAACAGCTACAGAAAGGTCTAAAAACAAGACATTAGTTTTTCTAGGTAGCTTTCTGAATTATATATACAAATGGGTAACAAATGCATGGATACTCAATCTCAGTAATTATAATACGTGTGCAGACTAGAACAACGAGAAGCCACTTCACACCAAGGGATGCGTGCCATGGAAAACCAAATGTTTCTGATCACTGAGAAGAAGGGAAATCCCTACTTGACATTCCTAAGCAGTGTGCAAGAGAAACAGAAAATAAGTGTGAAAATCCCATTCTAAGAAACCTAGGTGTATTATGACCCAAAACCACATACAAAAAAAAGGGTGTGGGCCCTTACTTTGTCACATCTGTGTGCAAGAGATCACCCACACTCTAATGAGATATGATTTCTCCAGTACCGAGCTCAGATGTGTTATGTAAGATAGATGGGATTCCTCATTTTTAACAGAAGACATGACGTCAGGGGTGGAGGGGTGAGGGTGGAGATGGGGGAGGAAGTCTGAATATAATAAAAATTCATTGTATGAAATTCTTGAATCAGTAAAATTTCTCTTAAACTTAAAAATTGTTGGTGAGGAAGTTGAGAAGTTCTAATCTTTACACATTTGGCAGTTTTCAGAAGATTAAGCAGAATTGACATATTATCTTATAATTTCACTCTTGTTATGAACCCCTTAGGAATTTAAAACACATTAAAATGATTTGCACAGGGATGTTTGTAGAATTTTATTTATAGTGGTCAAGAGTTGGAAAAATTCAAACATCCACCTTGTGATAACTGAACAAATAAATGTGATCGTATGTACGCACAACTGAATATATTCAATCACAAAAGGAGTGAAACGCTGAGAACATTATAACATGGACAGAGCTCAAAGGCACTATGCTGAGTGAGGCCAGACACAACAGAAAACATGCTTTATGGTTGCATTTATCCAAGCACCTAGTGGATGTCAGGAGCTGGGAGAGGGAGGGCTGCATTATGGCAATGGTGCTTCGTTGTGGAGATGATGAAAATGGCCTGAAGGCTGAAGGATAGGTGTCTGTGTGAGGACACTGTGATACGCTGGAAGCCAAGGAAACACTTCAAAATAATTTAAATTTTATCTCAGCTAAATAAAAAGGTTTTGTTAGAAATTTTAGACGATGTGTTCCACTCTCTCCTGTTATCCAACCTGTTTCACATGTATTGAGTAAAAGTTTGAATTGTTCTAAACTCATGCTGCTTTTTTTCCTGAGGTAATAAATAGATATGTTTATTATTTAACAATGTATAAATTAGCATATCATATTATATCCCTTAAGAATTATTGTCAAACAAGAATTAAAATAGGGAGGATACTTTACCTGGGGAAGGAATAGGAAAAGTTATGTAGGGAGAGAGAGCAGAGATAAATAACACTTAGGTGATGTGCAAAACCAAAGGGAAATGTATTAGCTCAAAAGATTACTGAAAACCACACATTATATATACGAATATATATGTGAGTGCATGTGTGTACCTGAAGGCTATATAACAACAAACAGTGCTAGACAGGAGAAACCTTCCTAAAATCATGCTATTTTTTTGTGTATTTTTATTGAGTTTTTGTGCATTTCATAAAATAAATCTAGATAGAGAGAACCCAGTGGATGAACTTGTACCAAGGGGTACAAAAGCCTAGGGATGTATGGATCATGTCTGTGATTTTGACCCTAGATGCCTATGTGACCTTCCCACCCTGGTGAGGTGGTCTGGATTACATGTGAGTCGTGTGACCACTGCACTTCTCCCTATGTGTCAGTGTGTGTGTGTGTGTGTGTGTGTGTGTGTGTGTGTGTGTGTGTGTGTGTGCAAGTGTATGGAGGCCAGAAGACGACCCTGAGTGTCGGCTCATTTGGCTAGGCTGGCTGGCCACCAGCCCCAGGGAGTCTCCTTTCTCTGCCTCCCCACTGAGACAGCAAGTGTGATCCCTCATGCCTGGCTTTTTAACGTGAGCTCTGGGGAGCACACCCAGGCTCTCATGTCTACACCAGGCACTTCACTGAGTGAGCCATCTCCTCAGCTCAACTTCTGTACTTCTGACCCAAACCCTGTTGATTTCATGGGCAAACTGCAGGTTGTTACTTTTCTCATGGACTGAAGAAAAATTTTAGACGTGTGTTTGCAGATTTGTAGGAAGGAAATAGAGTCTTTAAAATACTTCCATTTATTTATTTATTGTTGTGTGTGGTGGGCTGGGCTGGGCTTTTGTGCTACAACCTGTGTGCAGTGGTCAGAGGGCAATTTGTAGGACTCACATAGGAGCCAGTTCTCTTTTGCCACGATGTGGGTTCTGGCATCAAATGCAGGTCATCAGGTTTGGTGGAAAGTACCTTGACCTGCTGAGCCATCTCGCCGGCCCAGAAATAGATTGCTGACAAAATAAATTGTGTGTACTGGTCTGATTTCTGAACTAATCTTCCTCTATAATTCATATATGTTATGATTTCTCTCTCTCATTTAAGAAAATGCATATATTTCATTTAACTATCTGTAGGGGGTTTGTCTTTGAAAGGTCGTGTAATTCACTTTCTATGGAATAAAGTTGGAGCCAAAATAGAGACTAGAGATAAAAATCTCAGTTTTCTGTCACCTCAAAGAAGCATAGCGTGGATTGTGATCCTACTAACTGCTTCCTTAAACACATTATGCACAGGTCAATTGAGTGATTCACTCCCCAGAGTGTGCTTTCTTCAGAGCGATGTCCACTCGTTATGAAAATCACTTCCTAATTTTTGATTCGGTCCTCCTCATCAGAGCTCAACTCAGGGCAGCCTTCACATCCTTGTTCCTCAGACTGTAGATGAGAGGGTTGAGCATGGGGGTGATCACAGCATAGAAAAGCACCACTACCTTGTCCTGCTCAGCAGAGGCTGTGGAGCGGGGCTGCATATAGATGAAGAGGGCCATCCTGTAAGACATGGAGACCACAGTGAGGTGTGAGGCACAGGTCTCAAAGGCTTTGTGGCGTCCCTGGGTGGAGCGGATCTGCAGAACGGCAGCCACAATGTAGGCATAGGACAGAGAAACCAGGCAGCAGGGCACCAGCAGCACCACCACACTAGAGATCAGTATCATCACCTGGTTGAGGGTGATGTCCACACAGGCCAGCCTGACCAGTGCCAACGTCTCACAGGCCACATGATTTAACACATTGTTCTCACAGGTGGGCAGGCACATGGTGACTGCTGTCTCCATGGCAGAATTGGCCACACCCATAAACCAAGAGGCACCTGCTAGCATCATGCAGAGCCTGGGGCTCATCACTACTGTGTAACGTAAGGGGTCACAGACAGCCACATAGCGGTCATAGGCCATGGCAGCCAGTAGCAAAAATTCAGTCCCCCCAAGAGTCAGTGCAAAGAAGAGCTGGGTCCCACACAGGGTGAAGGAGATGGTCTTGCTCTCCATGAGGAAGTGCACCAGCATCTGGGGAACCCCGCTGGAGGTGTAGCAGGTATCCACTATGGACAGATGGCAGAGGAAGAAGTACATGGGCAGGTGGAGACGTGGGTCCACTGCAATCAGGAGGACAATGAGCCCATTGCCCAGCAGGGTCAGCAGGTAGGTGGCTTCAAACAGGACGAAGAGTCCAACCTGGATGTGCTTGTCACTGGAGAGACCCATGAGGATGAACTCAGTCACCCAGGTCACATTTTCCCTCCTCATGCAGGTCACATTTTCCCTCCTCATGGAGTAGGTGGGTCAGTTGGCCAGGAGTTGAGGGGGGTGGGGAAGTAGAGTCAAAGAGGGACAGGTAAAGATATCACCATAGATGGTGAATGAAGTCCTCCACTAAGATTGGGGCTAGAGGCACTCAACCTGGCCTAGTAACCTAGGTGGTTAAGGGAGAAAACAATGAAGACATTGGGTATGACACTGCTAAATAAATAAAAAGAAAAAAGAAACAGGCATGATATAATCCTGTTTATAGGAGCTGGAGGATCAGGAGCTCAAGGACAGGATGTGTTACAAAGGAAGCCGGAGTGCAGAAGGGGCTGCAGGAAATCTTGCCTCAAAAAAAGAAAAACAGTGAAGACATTGGAGAAAAAAAACAAGGATTCTCACACTAAAGTTGTGTTTCCGAAGGACTGCGTCTCTGCCTTGGCCAAGTTTTTGTGTCTAGCATTCTGCACAGTAACAGTTATAACCGTTTCCTGGGAGGGGAGGAGGAAGGGCTCGTAGAAGGGCAAAGGTGGGAGGTAAAGGGGAAAGACGATGTAAATACGGAGAAGGCAGAATGGAAGTGGAATGCAGGGACGTCTCAGAACATGGGAAGAACATGTTTGTGGGGTCGTTTCCTAAGTCTTTTTTTGACAGGTCTCCCTAGTTCCAGCCAGCCTGGACGTCATTATGTGGACCAGGTGGGCCTTGATCTCACAGAGATCTGCCTGCCTCTGCCTCCGGAAGCTGAGATTAAAGGTGCCCGCCACCATGCCTGGTGTGTTTCCTAAGTCTTGAGCGCTTTTTTTTTTTTTTTTTAATCCTTCTTATAAGTCTAGGTCATAGTCTTGAAGGGAGTCCTCTCACATACCCCTCATGTCACCAATCAGTGATGAGTGCTGAGGATGCCTGTATCCTTGAGATGGATATTGGCAAAGGAGGAGCTGTGTGTTTAGGAAGCATGTGGAACAGTCTGTACCTGTCTGTGAGAACAAAAGGCAGAGACAGGGATCCTTCTCTCTTGATTATTTTTTTATTTTCAGGTAGGCTTTCACTATGTAGCCCTGACTGGTTTGAAACACACTATGTAGACCAGGCTAGCCCTTGAACTTACAGAGCTCCTCCTGCCTCTCCTTCCTGAGTTCTGGGATTAAAGATGTGAGCCACCACACCTGGCTCTCTTGATGCTTATAATGTAGGGATACAGATTAATTTTAAAATTACAAAGATTAAGTACGATTGTGCTGAGTACTATGGAGAGGACAAGGTTAATTAAGTTTGAATCTTGGTAGACATTACTTTTTTTTTTTTTTTAAAGAAGAGTTTAGTTTTGGCTTATAGTTCCAGATGAATGCAGTCCATCACAGTGGGGAGACATGGCAGCAGGTGGAGGAGGGATGTTAGTATGAACAGGAGGCTGGGTGACCTCACACTCACACTCAGGAAGCAGAGAGTAAACAAGAAATGCAGCTAGGCTATAAAGCTTCAAGGCCAACCCACATTGTCCCACTTCCTCCAGCAAGGCTCCACCTCCTAAAGGTTCCACAGCCTTCCCAAAGAACATCGGTAGATATTCTTTATAGCTCAATAGCATTCAACTTGTATAGTGAGGTTCAAGCATTTATTTACATCATGAAAAAGCCATGTGCTGGGAATTCTTGGTGAACAAAGACACTCATGTTGATGCTACTGTGAAGGGATGGAAAAGCTCTCAATCTTAACAGTTCTGAATTCTTGTTTCTTAGCTAAGTTTGTAGTAGGTCATCTCCCTTCAGTCATGGTCACTGACTGCTCCTTGAGAAAATATAATTCAATGCCATCAGATTTAGTTTTTTAAATTTAATTTTTGCAAACTCCATATAATATGTTTTGGATATTTAGATCTCTTCCCCTATCTGCACCCTTAATATTCCCAACCCAAGTTCACGTGTTCTAGTTTAAAAAAAATTTATTTATTACTTTTATTTTATGTGTATGCGTGTATTGCCTGCATGTAGGTAAGTGTACCCATGTCGTTCAATGCCCGTGGATGTCAGAAGATGCTGTTGGATCCCCTGGGACTGGAGTTAAGGACAGCTGTTAGTTGCCATGTGGGTGCTGGGATTTGAACCTGGGTCTTCTGCAAGAACAACCAGTGTTCTTAACCGCTGAGCCATCTCTCCAGCCCCTCATGTGTTCTATTATATATACTATTATATATCTATATTATGCAACTCTACCATCTATCTATCTACCTACCTACCTATCATCTATCTATCTTCTATCTATTGAGTCAAATTTGTGTCCCCAGATCCCTTTGGTGTGGCTTCATTCACTGGAGCCACCCAGAGTCATACCCTTAAAGAAAACTAACTCTTACCCTCCCAGCAGCTATGGGTTGTCCGTAGTTCCTTAGCTAGGGTTAGGGTTTCTGGGAAATGAAAATTGAAACAACTTTGAGATTTCATCTTACTCCAGTCAGAATGGCTAAGATTCAAATAACTAGCAATGAAAAATGCTGTTGAGGATGTGGAGAAAGGGGACCACTTATTCATTGCTAGGAGTGCAAACTGGTGCAGCCGCTATGAAAATTGGTAATGAAATTCCTCAAAAGGCTAGAAATACATTTACCACAGGATCAGGGCACAGTGCTCTTATGCTATATACCAAAGTCATACACTCTATATCCTACTACTACAGAGATACCTGTTCATCCATGTTCACTGTGGCTCTATTTACAATAGCCAGGAAATAGAAAAAACCTAGATGTCCATGAACTGATGAATGGATAATGAAAGTACAGTACATTTGCACAATGGTATTCAGCTCTTAAGATTTTCTTAATGATAATCTCTAGGTGTGTTTTTTGTTCTCTAAGTATTTAAGAATCAAATTAATTAAAATTTACTTATAGCTGAATTTGTACTTTATGCTTTTATAATTTCACACCAGACACAGTGTTCTTTGATCAAAGCCCTTCCATCAGTCTCTCTTACGTTATCTCTATATTACAAAATCCCTTCTTTCAAAGTCTTCCTTCTTCTATTGAGAGAGAGAGAGAGAGAGAGAGAGAGAGTCCCACTGTATTCAATAGGGTTGCCTATTGAATAAACATGAGTGGGAGGATTACTTGCTTGAGTGGGGACTATGTGCCATGTTTATTGCTGCTCTACTCACAATAGTCAAGAAAGGAATCAGCCTAGATCATCACCAACAGATGAATGGATATACAATGTGGTACATATGTACATCAGAATTTTATTCAGCTGTAAAGAAAAATGAAATTATGAAATCTTCAGGTAAATGAATGAAATTGGAAAACATTACATTGAATGAGGTTACCCAGGCCCCAAAAGACAAATGCCAGATGCTGTCTCTCAGATGTGAATGCTGGCTTCAAATCTTTTGCTTCCTGTGTTTAACCTGACATACCCGTACAACTGGAAAGGGGCAACTGGGAGAGAATGCCTTAAGAGAGGGGAGGGAGGAGAACACAGGTGATATGAAAGTGATGCGGAAGGATACTGGGTGAGAAAGGTTTAAATAGGGATAAGGAGACGAAAGAAAGAAAGGGAATACTGGGGCGAGTTGACCTATATTTTCAACTGGCCTGGAGGAAATACTACCTTTTGATATAAAGTGCATGCTTAAAAACTCAGTGGTTCCATAGACTCAAATAAGAAATTTAAAAAGTTGGACCTTGGCACAGTCTGTGGGAAGTCAATGAGCTGGTTTGTGCAAATCACTGTAGCCAAACAGCAAATTCAATATGTCAGTGTTAAGACAGCAAGAGCGGAGCCACAGTATCTAATGCAAGAGGTCTGGACAGCATAATTCCATCCTGATTTCCCTGGCAGAAAACAGTGGTTAGAGCCCTACCTAATGGGGAGAGAGAGAGAGAGAGAGAGAGAGAGAGAGAGAGAGAGAGAGAAGATAGAGGGTAGAGGAGGCAGCTCTGGCTTTCCTTCAGTGCTATGACTAGAAGGTGCCTTTATGGAAACCATGAAGGGCAGAAAGTGGCTTTGAGTTCTCAGTGGTGGAGACCAGGGGCTGGGATCAGAGCTCAGGGAGGCACTGGATGTGATTCTGAGTGCTGCTCAGAGCATCTGTGGAAGCCCCCAGAGCCTGTCCTCTGAGTAGGCAGAGGAAGGGCTCAGTTTGGGTCTGCTACCACTCCTAGGCTACTTGCTGCCATAGATGTCTTAGACTGGTGTGAAGGATCCAGATCCCCTCCAGAGTACAGTCAAAACTGATAGAAAAGAAAAGAAGCAAAAATCCCACATCTCCCTCTCATTTTACACACAAGGAACCGAAGGAGCAGGGTAAGGTGACCTGCCCAGGGTGAGGTGACCTTCCCGGAGTCACCCGGGAACCAAGATGAACACAGTCCATCAATGAGTGATGGAAGTGGTTTTTGGCAGATATAGCACAGGGAAGAAGACACTTGAGGATCTTAGATGGTAGACTCAGGACTGTATCCTCCTTGATAGAGATGGACTTTGGGGAGTGGGCAAGACTTTGAAGAAGAAGTCCAGGGGATTTAAATTCTAGTTTGCCTGTTTCATGAGTAATTTACTTGATGTCAATAACCTCAGTTTCTTCACCCGAAATGTGTGAATAACAATAATAACAATAAAAATGATAATGTCCTCCTCAGAGTTTTTTGAACAAGATCAAATGAACTAATGTACACGAATTTGTTTCAGTAGTGTATTCAATAAAACCTTAAAGGCTGTGATTCTGGTACTCAAAAAGCACGTAACATTGAGGTAAATTTTATCCACTAATTCGAGGACCAAGTGACAATGTGAACAGATGCTGAAAGGATCAGAAAGTTTTCAAAATGTGGCTCGAAGGCCATTTGCAACAAACTCTAATGACTAAACCTAATTACAAACCCCTGCTGAAATGCATTTCAGTAATTAAGGTAGAGAGTCTCTTTATGCCCAGTGTATAGCTCCACACTTTGCACACAGCTTGAATTCACTGTCTTTTTAATTTTACTAACATTTTCATGTTGTTTTTGG